AAAAAATTCCAAAAGCATTCAACACTTTTTCCTGTGTTGATAAAAGACGTTGAGGGAAGTGAGTAGCACATGACAGAATAATAAATGTATTTTAGAAAATAAAATTGTCACAAAGAATTCCAGTATTACTGAAATCTTTTCCACGCGTGAGTTTAGGTGTAGCTACTCCTAAAAACCACAGGAAATAAAACTCTGTTTCAGCACAGCTACTTTATCACTTTTCTTATCATGGACCTTTCTGGAGGGTGTAAGAGCTTGACGAAAACATGCGATGAAGAACTACACACTGCTGTCCCCGGATCCTATCTAGGCATAGCTCACCAACAGCCAGCATGAAGCTGGACAGGCCTATTATTTTATTTTATATTCATGAAAACTGACTTCCTAAGTAACCCCAGGTTGAAGACAGGGTCATAAACATGACTTAAATCCAAGGTACTCCGGATCTGCCTCAAGATATATGATCAAGCCAGTAATAGTCCTTAATCTTAATACATGCTTGCTAAACTGAATGAATGTTCTGCTGCCACAATCCTCCCTTAAAAATAAAAAGCCAAAGACTTAAGGAGAGAGAATATCTGCAGAATGATGGACCTTCCCATCACAACCAATAGGGCAGACTTAGGCTTTTTCTAGAAGAGTTGTCTATAGATTATATAGTGCAGGACAGCAGTCTGATAAATAGCACACTCTGCGAACATTAAGGGGGAAGCTAGATCTTGGTGGCTTTCCTCCTCTCCCATATAATTTCATCCAACTTGTTTAACTGCAGTCAGCATATAATCACAAAACAACAGCTAGGAAAGCACGTACTAGTCTCATGCTCAAAAGCACCCACAGTTTTACAAATCCTTCACCTATTCTTATGTGTCTGAGTCATCCATATGACTTATTTTGTGATTCATTTTTCAGGTGGTCACATAAACCCAGCCGTTTCATTAGCCATGTGCGTGACTGGAAGATTAAAATGGACCAAATTACCAATTTACATATTAGCACAACTCCTGGGAGCATTCACTGGAGCAGCGGCTGTCTTTGGGATTTATTATGGTGAGTACACCTTAGACATGCTCACAGGACAAACTAGAGGTCAGGCAGTCTCTAAGGCCCCAATTTCTCAATGAACGCCAAGCAGGCAGGGAACTGCTCACGCAGGGGTAATGGCAGGAGTGAAGCCAGAGCCATAAAGAAGAAGAAAGGAAGAAGCATAAAGATTTTGAAAGGCGAGGGGGGGGGAAGGCTCAAACATTCCAGGTATCCTGCAACTTCCCTGAAACATAATAATCCAGGAAATGTTCTGAAATTTAGAAAAATTATTCATGGGAAATCAGATACTTTGAGATCACACATTTCTCAGTAAGGATTTTAAATTACTTAATAGCCAGGATATAGGGCTATTCATCTTCCAAGCAAATTAGAAACATTAAAGACCTGATTCAAGTGCCTGTAGGCAAGTATCACCAACATTATTCATTGAGGTTACAGGATGTGAGCTCAAGTCCCCCGACCAAACATCAGACCACCCTAGAGAGGTGGCTCTCCATGGCAATGAACTCCAGGTACAGTGATAAAGGGGTCACATATTAGAAGGGGAAAAAAGGGGGGTGGGGTGGGAAATTCCCCCTATCCTTGACGCTGTTGATTTTACATAGTGTGCCACAGAAGGAAAAAACTTAGTCACAGACTCCCTGTCTTGAACCCACACAATTGGATCAATCAGTTCCTTCAATCACCTACTCCACAACTCTGCTTCTACTGACCCAGCCCATCTCCACGGCCTCTCTGACGGGCATTATGTCTGCAGACAGTGCTTGGTCTAGGTGCAACAGAGAAAAAATGGAAATGGAAATGCCCACTGTGTATCAGCTGCGTACTCAGTGCCTCTACTACCCATGAACAGGAAAACCTTTGGGAACTGAGGAAACTCTCTAATTGGTTTGAGTTTGGTGGGGTTTTTGTTTGTTTGGGATTTGGGACAGGGAGAAGGGGGAAGAGTTTGTTTTAAGGTTAGCGTTAGAATTTGGAAACTGCGCGATTCCAGAACAGGATTTTCTAGAGTCCTTCTCAAGCTAGACAGCCAAGATTAGGGCTGTGGCCATGATACAGAAGTGCGTCAACACGCACGTGGGGTTGGGGGGAAATTCATTGTATTCTGCTAAAGGGTAGCAGTAGGATAGGGAGCAAAGATCAGGAACTTAGAGCTAGAGTTAGAGACTTCTTATTAGTCAGGAGTGCTGGATTTTCTCATATCCCTATCTCTGCTCAAGACTAACTTTGCCCTCCTGTTGTTCTTATTAATTCCCAAACCTCTTCAGTATTTTTTTCTTTCTTGGAACTTGTAAGAAGAGTGTCACACACTTATCAAGGTCCACTGAAAATTCATGGGTAGAAAAAGACACAGGAGCTCAACACTTCCATGTTCCCCATACACAGGTATTTGAGCTAGATGCTTTCATTTTCAGCAGCATACCTGCAAGAGTGAAGAAGTATATATGCTAAACTGCTGAACATGAGGCTTTTCTAAAGGTGTACAATGTTATTCACAGCTGAGACATTTTCCTTATTTTTTTTGCTCACCCCTAATAGTTAAATGCAACAAGATGATCTGACACTGCAAATGAAAGAGCCTGACCAACCAAGTAAACAACTAAATATTCCCTGCACCCATGTCATGGCCTTATGCAAAGCTAGAAAAAACAGGGGCAAACAGAAATAGATTTGTCTGCTAGCTTCAGGAGAAGCTAACCATGCTCACCATGACTTCCATGGGAGGTGGGAAGCTGTTTCTTACTCACAAGAATCACCTCATCAGTGTATCCACTACTGAAATACAGGCATAGCGTTTGTTATTCATGCCTGCCTATGCAGAATTTTGAGTGCTTCATCTTAGTGTCTTCCTATTCTAACATTTCAGGGCTTGCCAAGGCAGAAAATTATTCTAACACAGAAGTCATATTACAGTCTTTGAAATACACTTTAACTATACTAAGATAAAAATACATGGATTTACAGTATCTATAAAAATACACTAGGAACTGAAGTTTTAAGGGTAGCATCTCCCCTCACATCTTGGATGACTAGCATAGCAGGGTACAAGGCCCACACAGTGAAAAAGAGCAGGTCTCTCAGTAGAGTTCATTCCCAGAAGTCGTTATTGCACAACTATCAAATGGAATGGCAGTAATTCCTGGTAGCTGGGAATCCACAACAGTACAAAGAGAATGGATGCATTCTGGGAGGGCATTGCGCCAAATATAGCGCCTCTTACCACAATAACGCAACTGTGTTCAGAGTCAGAAAATGCTCCTTGCATTGAGTTTGGAGCAGTGAGCAGAGGAAACAACAGCCGCGTTTTGAAAGCTGTGACACATAAAACAAGTACTTCATGGCACAGGAAGAGAGATGAGACAGGAGGGTTCGATCAGTGCATCCCCTCAAACCTGTTAACTATGCTCCCAGAAAAAACAACTAGTTTCGGTAGAGAATGTGAAGTGCATAGACCTATCACATGCATTCTAGTTCTAGAAAACCTAGTGCTTATGGAGAAGTGCAACCAGGTAATGGCTGTTTTCTATAGATGCCTTTATGGAATATAGCAATGGAACACTTGAAGTCATAGGACCTAACGCAACAGCACATATCTTTGCAACATATCCAGCTCCATATCTGTCCCTCATAAATGGATTTGCAGATCAGGTAAGTGCACTTGCTGTCTTGAGTTCACAAATTAAACACACCGAGAACTGTAAAACAAAGCAGTAAGGAACAATACATAGATCTTTAATAGGTATGATGAATCTCTCCGTTTTGCTCGTACATCATCGTGTACAATAGCAATGAAAATGCAGTGCTGTTTGCAGGGGTCACATTTGAGTCATATTTTACAAGCAAGATAATTTCAAGTTGTTCTTTTCACATACATCATATTAATTTTTGCACTCTGCATGTTTTTTAATGCAATATATGAAAGAGGTTTTCCCCAGCATAAATCAATGTTTCTCCATAAATTTCAGCAGAGCTATGTCCATTTACCTAAAAATCCAGTCCACTTTGTCATTCCCTAAGTAAAGCTTAAGCAGCCCGTTTAAGGCACCTTGAACAAGTGAGTTTCCTGCTACCATAAGCCTCCTCTTCAACCTCCACTTTGCAAATAGATTTGTATTATTTGGTTCGGGTTTTGTTGCAAATGACTGAATCTGAAAAAATATCCACTTTATTTCCAATCTGCATCCTCTAATACCACTTATCCAACAGTGAAAAAATGAAGTTTCTTATCTTTTATCTACTTCTAAACAATTTACCTGCCCTCTTCAGGCATATATGAAATAAATACCACATAAGTAAAAACAAAAAACTAGGGACTCCTGGAGCACAGGAATTCTTCACAGAAAGGACATGAAGATTGTGCAATTTGGCTTCAAAAAAGTCCAAACATTGTTTTGAAATTTTGTAAGGGGACGATTCTTGGATAAGTCAACAGACTTTTTTGTAAGATCTTTTTACCCATGGATGGTTTAAAACAAAATTAAAACCAGCTGAAATAATAATAATAGTAAAAAAAGCAAACTCAAACTTCTTTAAATCAGTACAGAAATTAAATGCTTTGACATGGCTGAAACTTTTGTCTGCTTCCCCCTAAGTTAATTATTAGCAAAATCAATATTTACAAAGCATTTAAGCAGAGCAGCATGTCCATCAAAGTAATGCCAAGAAAATTTCCTTTATCAGCTCAATTAGCATCTGCAATACAGAGTTCATGTTACAATTACATGTGCAACCTTAATTTAGGCAATTCCTAATTTTTTAGCTGCTCAGTTTTGACTTTGTAGACTTCACTTTTTTCCTTACGTTATGCAATACCTTGATAAAGCAGTACATATTTAGTCTAATTTATCAGTGTAAACTACAGTCACATAAAACACTTTGATATCAATGTAACTGATTGAATCAGCACAGCAGAACTACTGAAAGTCAAGTAAATGGAACTGTTAAATTCATAGGGGAAAAAAATAATATAGAAACAAAGCATCAGACATCACACAGGAGAGACAGGTTGTTGCCTTCCCCAAATGTCCTCAACACATTTCTTATCTTTTTCTTTCAGCACAGGTATCAAAACTTCTTACTGTGAAGTAGAGAGGCACAGGGTTCCAAATTTTGCTACTCTGTATAGTGGGATACATCTAAATACCAGGTCTAAGCCACCACAATCCACTGCGCTGCCATACCCATTTCATTATTGGAAGGAATCTGCACATATTTATTCTTTTTCTTTGCATTGGGCAGGTGATGTCAACAGCTGTTCTTCTTCTGGCTATATTTGCTATTTTTGACAGCAGAAATAACAGTGTACCTAAAGGCCTGCAGCCAATTGCAGTGGGACTTCTTGTAATTGTTCTTACTTGCTCTTTGGGAATGAACAGTGGCTGTGCCATGAACCCAGCCAGGGATCTAGGCCCAAGGCTCTTCACAGCCGTTGCAGGATGGGGGATGGAAGTATTCACGTAAGTATGCCTGGATATGAAGTAAAATGCTCTTGGCTAAAATTGCTTCCTAAGAAAGTAAGATCCTGATTCAACATGGTACCAAGTCATACTTTATATACATATAGGTAATTCTTTGCATACCAGAAGAAGCTATTCATGCACTTTAAGTCAGACAGCTTCTAGGAACTGGGCTTTATAAAGGATTTCCTGCTCCTAAGGCAAATGAAACATGCATTATCTCTAATATCAATCACTGTTTCAAGCAGACCCTTCCCGATATATTAGAGATTCTTAGAGGTCACTGAAAACGTAAGAGTGCTTTCTTCTCTTGTCCTGCAGCTTTCAGGAAAACAACATAATAATCATCACAAGAGAGTTAGGTGGGAGTATTTATTGGGTGCTGTAAAAAACACAGACATATCAGATTGACTTAGCCTATTATGACTACTGAGTTATTGCAGGAACATACAACAATCTAAAAGCCTGACTTCCTGCCTGGGAGCAAAGGAGTGAATAAAAGAAAGCTCCCTTCATTTTCCCACATTTCAGAGCACACTCTCAAATCCCTGTGCGTGGATGTGCAGACGCACACACACACTCTTGGCTGGCCAAACGCACAGCTAATTAGTTGCGCATCAAATCCACAGCTTACGCATATCCAGTGTAAGAGGCACTCTGGGATATCTAAGTCAGAGGAGTCTGTCATCAGGAGGTAGAACTTTTGGTTTATTTTTTTATAGTTTGTTTTTCCAGTTATTTACAAGTCGGAATCCCCAGAAGTACTGTAGACCACTAGAGAGCTCTGGTTAATAGAGCTTTCATTTCAGCTACTTCACCAAGTACAAATAAGCTGTATTTATTTAATATGACTTCTATCTACATAAATCACAGCAGTAAAGTTTTTCTTGTACAAAAAAGCACCAGGCACAGCAGAAATGGGCACACAGTCATGCCACAGGTCAGAGCCAAAGGTTGGCTATAGCACAGCTGCAGCAGGCCAGCTCACCAGCCCGCTTACCTCCAAACTTTTCCTCCCTGGCAGCTCTTACCACTGTACCATCAGACTGCACTGTTTAAAAAAATAGCAGCACACAGAGTGACATTCCACACTTGGGGTTCTCCCCTCTCGTGCCTAAGTAGTTGTTGACTATGACGTTAATTATAGTGTCATGTGTGTAATCTGCAATATTATGAAGTTAACTATTAGAGCTGAAAAGGTTGAAAGCCTGATTGTACCACAGTCAAGACACAGAATACCTGTGGACTCCCCTCCTCCCCAAAAGTAATGTATATTACTCATCTAAATTTAAGAAATTACAAGAAAACTACACATCTGTACCAATAGGGGCTCTTCTCTAATTTAGTGTTAGGATTTATATACAGAGAGGAAATGCATCCCCACTGTAAAGACCATACTAGAAAATTTTAAAATGGCAACATTAAAAAGAGATTAAATCTCTGGTCATTACCAAAATAAATTTACAGCAGTCTCAGGGGTGTATAAATTGAGGAAGAAGACTCCCTCCCTGCCTTCAGCTATAAGGCTACAGCTATAACCAAGTTCAAGAGAATGATACAACTGGATTACATTCTCATCTATTTGCAGCACAAATTCAGGTAGGAGTTAGGAAGAACGTGAGCTTTGTTAGGTAGCTGGAAGCTTCAGAACAGTAAGAGGCTATGAGAGAAGTCTGACTGATTGCAGCCATGATCCTGAACTGCCTGCTGCTCTGCTGGTCTTATATACATGAGAGACTTAAGTGATGCGGCCACAGTTGACAGCTAGACCTTGGATGTCCCAGCTTAACTGGAATTCCCAACCTTGAGACAGCTGCTCAAGCTGTCTAGTAAAAGGCATGCCCAGAAAGCGGAACCTAAGTGAAACATACACAGTGATATGAGAGGAGTGCCACACAAACCAAGCAGGAGGAAGTACTGAAGAGACATTGAACATACACTGGAGTGAGAATAGAAACACCTCAGAAGGTTGACTGAGTCACTCTGCCCAGGTCAGTGAGCGTTCCAAGTGCTGCCTACAGGGCAGGCAGGGACCACCACTTTAGAACAGATCAGATACAGAAGGATCAGACTCTCTACACCCTGATCCCAAGCAAATGCTCTAAACATTGAGATCATCAGTTCACAGGAGGAAAATCCCCTCTATCCTTCTTTGTGCTTGAGGTCCAATAAACTCTGGTTTTACCATGTGCACAGGCAGGGAACAGTGACTAGACCAGAGGGGAGCTCTTCTGCTGGAGCATGGAGTTGTCCAGAGGATAGGGAGGCAGCTGAGCAGGGGTTTTCTAAATGTTGCTGTTAATACATTTTGCACAAACGAACCTGAAGGAGCAGTTTCCCTGAGAATCAAGCCAGGGGACACAGGCTGTGGCGTGGCTTCCGTAGGCAGGGCAACTGCATTTGTTTTGGTTAAAGGCTCCCATTAGAAGCTGTTCTGATCCATTGCAGCTGGAAAGGAGGTGTCTGTCCAGCACCCTATAGAGGACACCATTTTGCATGTAATAGATGTAGTTAACACTGTGGCCAGCTCCTGCAAACTGCTCCTCAACCTGCTGAGAGCAGGTGTCAGAGGTACCTCTAATGATAGGGACAGTTGCCAACTGCTGACTTTAGAGACCTACATGTTGCTAATGATTTCCCTAAAACCATGGAGATACCTAGGAATCTTTCTTAATCACATCCTAATAGTCTCAGAAGCTTAAGAGAAGTTGCGGGTAGTGCAGTTTTGCCTGTAGTGAGGAAACAGCCAGAGCTTTGAGTACAAATACCAGACCGGATTTTGACAAGCATAAGAGAGCATGAAACAGCAATAAGCAAGTGAGAAACGGCTCCGCAAAATAGTATTTCCCACCAGCATTT